AAGCATGGCAAGAATGAAATAATAGCAACCCTCGAAATTAGGGTCAGCATTCAGCAATGCCGACCTAACTGCCAACCTCAATCTTTTAGAGTTACCTAATTTTCCATTGACAGGTGGTGTCCTCAATGAAATTCTTCCATTTGATACCATATTTGTACTTCTCTAAAAATTAATCTTATTATTCTTATGTGTTTAATGCTTAATAGAGATTATCTCCATCATATGATTAAAATGATATTAAATCATAAGATGGAGATTAACACTTGATTAAATGAGAAAGATGAACATATAATAAATATACACAACAACTATTATTATATCTATTTTTATCATCATTTAAAAAAAAAATCCTTATTACATCCTTTTCACATCTTTATCACATCTTTATTACATCTTCATCACATTTAATGATTTAAAAAATGTCCTTACATTAATAGAGCTTGGACTAACTAATGAAAGTTGAACTCCAGTTGGTGCAGACTGATTTAGGCGAAGGGGACTTGACTGAAGAGATTGAGGCAGAACTAATCCTGAGTGAATATTTCGTAGTGGACTTTGTAGTTGTGCCTTCAAAGGTGTATGGAGTAGCCTGTATATTTGCATAATGTTTTATGTTTTGAATATGTATTTAAAAAGCATTAAAACTTAAAAAATTACCCAGACTGCATTTGCATTTGGATATTTTGAGAATAATTACCTAAGAATAGAGAACATAAAAACTTGTTAACAAAAAAAAAAAATTTCAAACTTTCCAAAATGTAAATTTGAATATCAAACTGTTTTTAGTAATAAAAAACTAATAATAAAAAGTAAAAACTTAAAAACACAACATATTGTGAAAAGCTCGTGGTGTCTCTGAACTTAAAGTATTGTTATTTAAAAAGATAAATAAAGGAGCAAAATAAAAATGTCACTTTCCAGGAATTTATTTACTTGCCTATATTTTTAAAAAACTTAAATGCCCTATACCAATAAATGACATTACTATTTCAGTATCCTTTTATTTGCAATAAAAAACTTTTTTTTTTTTTTACTCAACACTGCTAAGCTAAAATCATAAGCTCGTCATTAGCTAACTAAGTTTGCTTAGTAAAATGTTGTCAACAAAAATTTATGGCAGAATTAAATGCTGCCCAATTTTTTATATGAGCTGCCTATAATTGAGTTGTTGTCCCTCTTGCAGAGCATTTTAGGCAAAACATATTGTACAAGATAGTTAATCTTTTAAAACAGATAAAATAAATAATTATGCATGTAGAAGGGCTTGTCTTTAAATTGACCAGAAGCAATAAAAACTTCCATGCCTGAACCCAAGAGATTCTGTAGGAAGCAATAATTTTCGGTAAAAAGATAAAAGACATTTGAAGGAAATCCCACTCAGTCATCTGGTAGTTGCATAGAATGATTGGGTGCAAGAGACTAAGAAAGACAAAAATTTTGAGCATACCAGCAGGCTTGTTGGTAATAGAGTTGAGCCATTTAGTGTGATAAGCTTTCAAGTAACCAATAACAACAATATTTTTAGTTGGAGAGGGCTAGATCAATTTCATATGAAACATTGATAAGGGTGTAGTGTTGGGTAAAAAAAAAAAATGAGGAACAAAAAAATATGTGATGGAGTGAAGAAAAGCTAAACAAAAGCACATAAAAAATACAATCATAGAAAAAGCCAGATAATTTAAACCTAATAAATAAACAAATTAATACAAAAGTGAATCATGATCAAAGCATGTAACAATTAATGTATTTATATTAGTTTTAAAAAAAGCAAGTAGGTATGGGTAATTTTGCAAGAGGTAAGACTAAACTGATAAAAAGTTACTTTAAAGTCCATAAATAATTGTAGAAGAAAATTTGTAAAGCGGTTAGGCAATAATGATAGTTTTTAATGTTTAATTTTTAAAAGTACTGAAATCATGTTTTAAATTATTAAAAAATTTGATTCTATCATAGTGCAAGGGACAACCTGTAGTGCATGGAATAATCTATGCTGACATGCTCTTATCTAAGTCCTGCTAATCAAGCCAAAGTGCAAATCAAAAGCGTTAACAAATACATCATTAATGTGCAGCATGGTATTCTGATACTTTACAGCTTATGATAAAATCAGCCTCTCTTAGAGTTACATATTTCAAAAAACCATAAGCCAAAACCTCAGAACCATTAACCTGAGATTTATAAGTAATTAGAAAATAAAAAAAAGAGCTGCACAGCCAAGAAAGTAGAGTCAAAAAAAATCCAGAGTGTGCATAAACCTTGGCATAATATAATGTAACACATGTTTACATCTACGCCATTTTATTTGATGAAGAAAAGGTGCAATGCTGGTCAACAAATATTTTTTACTTAATCTTAAAGGTTATTCCTAAGAGGCAAGACAGTAGCCGGGTGTAGTTAACATCTAACAAGGGATTGCAAAATTACTGATTTTTTTTACAACTGGTAATTTAATAAAAAAAATTCTTCACAAGGTAAATTAGTGATAATCTTGCACATTTTTAGCGATAATCTTGCACATTTTTAGCGATAGTCTTGCACATTAATTAGTTTAAATAACAGCAAATAAATAACCATTTCTGCATAACATTTTGCACTAAAGCAACAGTTTTTAATACACATTTTTTATTGCTCTTCAGTTATTGCAGGACTTAAAAAGACCTCTAATATATCAGTAAACAGAGATTATTTTATCTCTCTAATATCTTTAACAAACTCATCTAAAAAATATTCCTAACAAATTCATCTAAAAAATATTTTTGTACCTAAATTACCTGAATTACCTGTTAAATTACCTGAAACAAATCAGGTTGCTTCTTTAAATTCTACTATCTTGCTTCTAGATTCTACTTAGGAAGTAGATATATTATGGTAAAGTAAAAGTACTTCCTTTAAAAAAAGCTTAAAATTTATCAATTTACTAACTCACCTTTTCCTGTAGAAAAAAAAATTTGTTCAGTATCTTCGTTGCTTAAATTAAAAAGTTGTACTACACTATCTGTCGCTACAAAATATTTTTCAAAATCTAGCAAACAAACGAAAAATGTAAACTTAGAAAGTAATTCTTTTGTTTTTAAAAAATTAACGTGAACTACTTTTTGTAAACAAATATGATGTTGGGCTCTATACAACTTATGGAATTAATAAATTGAGCAATAAAGATATGATTTACTTGAAAATGTTCATAAACAAAGTTCTAGTTTTCATTTCGAATGCGATTCTCTTTGCTTTCTTTGTTCTCTTGGTTTGCATATTCAAAAAATAAAAAAGGTGCTCTTTGTGTTAATTGTGTTATTTTTGGATCTGGAGAATCGAGTCGTAACGCAAGCAAACATGATCAACTTTGTAAATCTCTATTTGTGCCATATTCGAGGGCCATCAAAAAATTTTATAAACATGCTGAAAGCAAATCCGCCTGCAACTCTTAAGACTACTCATTGTATGGAACAAAAGATAATTTTTTTTTATTTAAATCACAGTTGATGAAAAAGTCAGGAAAAATAGAAAAATATTAAAACCAATAGTTCTGTCAATTATTATGTGGCAAACAAAAAATTCCTCACCAGACCGAGATGATTCTTTTTACTATCAAAATGAAAATATTCTGGGAAATATTTGGGTGCTACATAAGAATAAAAACTATTTATCCAAAAGCACTGAATGTACACTGTGGATCTCATGTTTTCAATTTATGTGTTGTACATGCCCGTAAATTACAAGTAGTCAGTAGTATTATCACAAATGTGTGTATTGTATCTCAGTTCTTTAACTTTAGCCCAAAGCATTTTGATATTCTAAAAAAAAAAAGAGAAGAAATGTTTCCATGAGCGTCATTCACACCTCATAGATGTATGTCATACAAGATGGATTGCTAGAATTGATGGTCTAGATATGTTAATTGAGATACTTCCTGCTAATTTCAAATGCTTTGTGATAATCATAAATAATAATAAAAAAAATCTTGGAATCATGATTTAGTGCATGATGCAAATAGTTATTTCTTTGCCACTACTTCTTTTCAGTTTATTGTTACTCTAGTAGTTGTGCTTTGCTCTTTAGAGCAAAGCTTTCAAACAAGATCAATTACAAAACAATTTCAACTGCCAAATTTTGATGTTTTAGCGTCACATGAAAAAGTAACTATGTTACATATTGCCTTAGAGCAACCAAGATCAGACATTGAAAACAGTCATGGTGCTTGGCAGAGTAAGGCAGTAGTATTGGCAGCTAGTGTTGGTGTTTACAAGCACAAGCCTTTTAAATAGGAAAACAACTTAATCAAAATAATTCTCCTAGTGAATCAACTAACAACTATTACAAGAAAGTTATTACGATTCATTTTCTTGACTATTTGCCATTTTAGATTTAGTTACATTTCTCTAATAGAAGCATTGCTGTTTATAATGGATTCTTTACAATGCCCATTAACATTTTAAATGTTTCTGAATGGAAAAAAAAATTTATTCTTTTTTTATATGATTACGAGGATAATCTTCATAAACCACGCTATATCATGACTGAATTAAATGTTGGAAGACCTTTGGCGTAATTTTAAAGATTCCCTTCTAAAGACACTATTGAAACTTCTTCCTCTCATTGATAAACTTACCTTTCCTAATATATTCACTTTTATTTCTTGCAACTATTCCAGTAAAAACCTATGAAAGATCGATCTTGGTTATTCGTCGTTTAAAAAGTTCCCTACATAACACAATGTCACAGAATAGATTTAATGGTCTTGCTCTAATGCATGTTCATCAAGATATCAAGATTGATGTAAATGAAGTGATTGATTATTTTGCCAGGAAAAATCCTCGTAAGATGCAGCTTGTAGATATTTTAAATTCAGATCCAGTTTAATTTTGATCGTAGCATTTATATACATTGACAAAAAAAAGTTTTTAATATTTTACACAGTGGTTCTGTTTAAACTATTTAATATATTTTAAAAAGGATTTTTTTTTTTAATTTTTTATCCATTTTTATCAATAAATTTTTGATTAAATCTTTTTAATAGATTTAAGTTTACAATTCATTCAGCATATTATCCTGTTGATTAGTTTTATAATAATTTTTATTATAATTTGTCTATATTTTACTTTTGAAATTTACATAATAGATTCAGATAAAAGTAAAAATTAATAAAGTGCAGTTTATTTACTTTGTTAAATACCAATTAAAAACACGCTTCTTAAATTTGCCCTATGGTTGTTTTTCAAAATCTGTGAATGCAGACTCTAGAAAAATTTTGTTCACACCTGAAATGAAAAAATGTATTCATTAACCCCAACAACCTCATACCCATTTGTTTAAATTACCTTTTTATTAATTTCGGTATCAAAATGTATTAATTTAGGTATGTAGAATTCAAACCCAGCTTTGCAATAAGCTTATTAGGATTTCTCGGGGTGTATAAGATGAACAATATTAAAAAAATAAGTATACTATCCAAGGCCAACATAAAGAGGAGTATGGTACTCTCTCCCCCTCTCCCCCATTATATTGGTTACAGGTGAATGCGCTGACAATGCTTCTCCCCTTTTTTTTAGCACCCCTCAAAAAATATTCTGGATCTGCCCCTGATCATAATGATCCTATGCTTGGCCTGAACTGAATGAATTCTAACTTGCTATTTTGTGTATACAATGACCTCCTAAAGAATTCTTGTTTCATTTACTATTGTCATCATTTCATCTTTAATTTATGTATACAATGATCTTAGTTAAACAATTTAACAACACAAAAATAAAAAAATTTTAAAAACCCTGATATTTTGATGTGTTGATGTCAAACAACTTTATTTCTTTTATTGATAATTTTCTTAAATTAATAAAACAATAAAAACCAATGACTATAATAATTAAAAAAAGAACAAACTTTTATTTACGAGTCCAGGTGTTGTTGGATATTGTGCAGATGAGCATTGTTGAGCTTTTGATACATTTGGAGTTTTAGGATAGCTAATAAAATTAAGTGTGTTTGATAAATAATTAATATTAAAAATAATTAATATTAAAAAAAAAACAGTGTTTTTACTCTCTACAATAAAAACTGTAATTAAGATTACTATATATAATTTCTTAGTTATATATATCTTTAATTTTTTTATATTTTCTTTAGTTACAATTTTTTTTTCAACATCTTTTTTTCTAACAAGGCTGCAAGCAAACACTATTAGAGTTGAAAGTTACTGGAAGACAATAAATGATGTTTATAAAGCAAGATAACGATTAACAGACAACATAGAAGTATATATTAATCAAATTATATCAATCAGAAAAATAAAATGAAGAAAGCAAATTCCTAAGGACTGATGTTCGAGGAAAAAAAATAGACAAATAAGAATTTTTGGAGCACTAAGGAATAGTCACAGTAACAGGATGAGAATTAGTTGAATGACGAGTAACACGAGAATGAATTTTAGTAAATGGCAAAAAAGACACAAGCTCTTTAGAGCAGTGCCCATTATAGTATGTATAAAGAGAGAGAGAAGCAACATAATGACAATGTGATAATTGTTGAAAGTTGGCTGCAAAAGCAATATATGAAAAAGTATATGCAATTATATGAAAATTATATGTAAAAGAGTATTACAAATATTGTTATAATCATAGTTGGATGTGCTATTGCAACCAACTATGTTATTAACATAGTTGGACCTGCAAGAGCAAGTCCAGATATGGCAACAATATTCCAAACAATTATTTTAAAAACAAGATAACTTTGACATAAATAAAAAAGAAGAAAAATTTTTAATTTACTAGATCGCTTGGCTACACAACATATTTTACAAACATAAACCTAGTAATTTGACATGACAAATAAAAATAAACACAAAACAATTCTGATTAATTGTATCAATATGGTTTGTTTATTATTTATCAAAATATATTGACTCAGTTATATCTATGTATTATTTATAAATATAGAATTTATCAAATCAAATATTGTTATAGAAAATTAGAATACATTTCAAAATAACAAAAATGATTTTGTGATAAACACTATAATTGTATCTGTTCAATACAATAAATACTGTTGGCAGTAGGTTTGTCAGCTAACATTAGCTGACTGAAGTCGAATATGATGACATTTAAAGTCTGCAAAAAAGCAGACTAAATATTATCAATTATTAAATAGTTGAAAGACGTTCAAAAAGTAAAAAAATTTTAATTTAAACGTAATGAATACTCTTTTTCACTTGTAATCAACACAGCCATGTTGATATTCTTATATTGTTAATCAACAATCCTTTTACAGAGACTTCTAGCTCTTTCTACTTATCTTTTAAGTCTTTCTACTTATCTTTCACCACTTTTGATGAAAACTTAATATCTAAATTTTGATAAGATCTGCATCTGCTCATTCTTTTTTTTTTTTTTTTTCTCCTGATTTTAATCTTTTACTCTCTACTTATCTAATACCCATAATTGTGAGGAATACTGTTATCGTATTCAGACAGGGTCTTTTAGCAAAATTATTCTTTTAAAAGCAGATGCAAAAATGCATTTTAAAATACATGCTCTAGCAAAATATTTTCTGTGAATATCAGCATTTTATCAACTTTATTATTTCATTCTCATCTTCATGATTTCATTCTCATCTTCATGATTTCATTCTCATCTTCATGATTTCATTCTCATCTTCATGATTTCATTCTCATCTTCATGATTTCATTCTCATCTTCATGATTTCATTCTCATCTTCATGATTTCATTCTCATCTTCATGATTTCATTCTCATCTTCATGATTTCTAAATGCAAATATTTAATTAAATTATTTTAATTTTATGTAACAAATTTTTTTTTAATTTCTATATCATTCATTTTCTTTTATTTAACTGTGTTCAATAACCATAAAAATAGTAGTTGAATAGGTTTTTTGGTTTAAAATTTCAAAAAATTTAAAAATCAACTTAAACTTAATATTGATTTGATCCTAACATACTAGCAATGAAATCTAGTTCATTTTTATAATATTTGTATGACTGTTGCCATAAGAGCACCTCTAAATGCTATGCTGCAAGGCTGCTCTTGTCAGTCCAATCAGTTTAATTTATTGACAAATCATACTGTAAATTGCCTACTTTACACCTTACAACATTATTTAGCATTAAGTCTCATAGACTTTACTTTTTAAAGCTCAGGGAATTTTCATGGGGTGCAACATGAAAATGTTGCACCCCATGAATGAAACTCTTCTCTAATGTTGCGAGCAACATTAAAGAAGAGTAAAAACTTTTTTTTTTTTGAGATCAGAGATTCCAAGATATCTTTTGAAAGATATTTTTGAGATTCCAAGATATCTTTTGGAATTAGTGACCTACTCTGTTGACTGAGTTTTCCTGAACCTTTTTGATTCCATCCATAAAGTACTTATACTTCATATATTCAGAGCCAATATGCATGACTTAACAACATTTTGACTTTAGTTAACATTTTTTTGTCTTTTTCAACAACTTATATGAGCTATGGGTTGTCTGTGTATATTTTGGCAAACAGTTGATTTGGCATGAACTGATAGACCATTAATTAAAGTAACAAAGACATTAAATGATAGGTCATTTATTAATATAAAAGAGTCATGAACTGATAGGTCATTAATGAATATAACAAAAAGCATCAAATAAAAAGAAATTAACTTTAAGTATTAACATCAATATTAATAAAGCATTTTAAAAGAATATTCAGGTGTGAACTTAATAAAAGAAAAAAAAATGAATAGAGAAATTTTAACTATATTAATTACCTAAAATCGTGTGCAGCAAGAATATCTTGAACTTGATAACCCTACAAAATTAGAAAAATTTAAACTTGATAACCTATAAAAAATAAAAAATAAAATTTTAAAAAATTCTGACTGGTTTTTTAACTACTTGCAAATACTTTTACTTAAAATTTGATAGCAATATATTAATAGATTTGATAGCACTATATATTTTAATATATTATTTGTTATCTTGAGTTTATTAAAACTTAAATCGTATGAAATTTCAAATGTCATATGCAACTGGAATAGCAACTTTTTAACTAATCGACACCAAAGATACAAGGAAATGAAGCATCAAACTGGGTAATGATATCAAGTGGTGTTTCCCAAAGATCAGCAATTTCTCCAACCTTATTCATTTTATATATTAACGATTTACCAGAGATTTTAAAACAATCTAAGCTCTTTGCAGATGACACCAAGTTAATCAGGAAAGTAGCTAGCTCTGAGAATTGTCAATTGCTTCAAAATGATATTAACCAACCCTACAAATGGTCAGAGATCTGGTAATTACAATTTAATAGTGGAAAATGTTGTATTATGCCCTTTGGAAAAAACAACTTTCACTATATTTATAAACTTGGTGTCAAAGTATTAACAGTTTCTGATACTAAAAAAGATCTTGGAATTACAATGTCATCAAATCTCAAATGGAAAAGTCACATAACCAATTCTACATCAAAAGCTTATCCAATGCTTGGAACATTGAAAAATATATTTCATTACATCAACAAAAAATGTTTAAGATACTATATATAACATTTATAAGATCCCATTATGAATTTGCGATACAAGCATGATGCCCATACATTAAAAGTGATAATAATGCACTTGAAAAAGTTTAATGTTATGCCACTAAATGGACACCCCAGATTCAAAAATAAAGTTATAAAACAAGAATTAAAATAATTAGCTTAAGCACACTGGAAAAAGACGTAAAAGAGGGGCCTTAATTCAAATGTAATAAAAATAAATTTAAAAAAATAAACTGTAGAACTAGATTGTAATATTTTTGTCTCATATCAACCCAACACAAGGGGCCATAACTTCAAAATTAGTAGAGAAATAGTTAAAAACTGCAATATTTGTCATCAATTTTTAACTTATAGAGTCTCATAAATCTGGAACAAACTACCAGATTTTATCATCAAAAGTGAAAGCTTTAACTTATTCAAAACTTGCCTTGATAAAGATCTAGAGCTATATATATGATGAATCTATATATATATGATTTGTAATTTATAATCGCTTATAATTAATACTTAACTTAACGCTGCTGCTCACCATTCGTGCACCTTTACACGGATTTTTTTACCATACTTGGCCTTTGAGTTTTATCATAAATTGCTTTACTTCTGAACTCGCCTAATGGGGCTCTTTCAAATCTTAATAATCTGTCAGTATCTGCTTAATCAGTAATGAGATCAAAAACTTTGTTTCATCAGCTTAATTAGTGATAAGATCAACAATTTTTATTTGATAACTTCTGTAGTAAAGGATGAACATTATGTTATTATTGAATTAGTAAAGTAACTTTTAAAGTCAGGTGATTTATTTAAATCATGCATTTTAGTCTTTTGTCAATTGTATTTAAATTTATTAATTTATAAAATTAATCTCTAATTTTTAAATTAAAAGACGACTCAAGAAGACGTTGCTCATTTCAAAGGTCAAGAGGTCAAACTCTTGATAAAGTTAGTGTTTAAAACACTTGCATCTCACACGGTCAACTCAATGTTACATGTTAAAGAACAAGATCGTTTAATACCTTATTTAAAAGAAGTTATAAAAATCCGTATAAAAAACCAGATTGTTTGATAGTTTGTTTTTGAAAGTTGTTAAACATTTATTACGAGGTATTTCAAAAAACAAAAATAAGGTTGTATTTGTAAAGTTTCAAATTTATATATTTTTCTTAATTTATATATTTATCTATATATGTGTGTTATTTATATTGTGTTTTATTGTGTATATATGTGTTAAGGTTATATGGGTTTATATTTTGTAAGTGTGTAAACATATGAAATGTTTCAATGTTTGTGGTGTGTTATATGTAATATGTTTATAGTTTGTAAGTGATAATTATGTTGTTTGCATGGTTTCAAATTGTTGTGACTGGGCTTAGTTTACAGCAAGATTGTTGACCTCGCTAGCCAAGTGGTGTACTTTGCTATAATGTGACCTGGCTTTGTTGAGAGCAAAAATATTGTCCTCGCCAGCAGAGTGGTGTATTGTCATAATAAAACACATAAATTAATTCTGTTTGTAATTAGTGTATTTCTAAAATGTGTTGAAAAAATATTGTTTAAAAAATGTGTTTTAATGTTGTTATCCTCTGTTCTTAACAATGTATGCTTTTGACAATAAATAAATTTTGTTAAAAAGCAGGCTTTACTAACAGCTCCTCCTCATTAAAATTTTTAAGAGTTTCGATTTTCTTCATTAAATATGTTTAACTCAAATTTTTTTTATATATATAAAAGTAAGTATACAGCGTGTTGAAGCATAAGTTTTAATAACTTTTGTTAAATTTTTAGGATTTTTTGTATAGAGAATGTTTTCTTTATATTATTATTTTAATGTTTTGTATGTACATCAATATATATATATATATATATATATATATATATATATATATATATATATATATATATATATATATATATATATATATATATATATATATATATATATATATATATATATATATATATATATATAGACACACACACACAATAAAATATATAGAATTAAAATGTCTATACATATATTATATGTATAGACATTTTAATTTTTTTGCCTTAAATTATTGCCCTTTTTCTTTAGAATATTAAATATCTAAAAAAAAAAAAAAATAGTAAAAGAAGTTTCAATATTTCCAAGTTTCTTCACTTGAAGCAAATATATGATTGTTTATAGAGGTTCTTTTAGTAGTTTTGTATTTATTTATTGCAAATCTTGCGTTAAATGCCTTTCAAAGTAATGAAAGGGTTTTGTTGATGGATGATTACATTTTATCCTTCCATGCTAGCAGTACCTGCTGAGTTGACAGGCCTTAAATTTTTTTAATTTGCTTTATTTATGAGTTCTTATATGTAAAAAATTTGTTTTTTAAATTACATTTGTTTTTTTTGTTTTTTTTTGATTAAATACTTATAATATTTTGTCAATAATTGATAACAACTACCATAAATATATAAACAATACTTAGTTGAAAATATTACATTAATTTATAACTTTAGTTTAAGTTTTTAATAAAACTATGTTATCTTAACACAATGCTATATATGGTAGAATATAATAGATTATAGTATTATGCTCTGTATTATTTCCTTACACTTTATTTTAGATAAGTTTAAAAAAGAAACTTCAACTTTTATTATATTAGGCATCATTTTTACACATTCCTTTGATGCCTAATTATGTCTAATAATTTAAGAAATGAAATTATTAGACTTCGTCAAAATGAAAGAAGGCAGGCTAGGCGAGCTGAGATAAACCGCCGTCGAAATGAAAGAGATGAGCCCAGGCGAGCTGAGATAAATCGTCGTCGAATGGAAAGAGATGAGCCCCGGCGAGCTGAGATAAATCGTCGTCGAATTGAAAGAGATGAGCCCCGGCGAGCTGAAATAAATTGTAATCAAAATGAAAGAAATCAGGCTAGGCGAGAACTTAATAGGTATAATATGCATCGCATAGCAAGAAATAATATTGCTATAGAGAGTAACTACCTCGGAGAATTAAACCATAATTGTTAGTATTGCAGTGCAAAGAAGTTTTTAAATGAAACTCATTTTTTGTGCTGCCATTCAGGAAAAGTTGCATTAGCTCCTCTTTCTCTTTATCCGCCATTGTTGACTGGTTTAATGACAGGAAACCATGTTGAACATGCTGTAAATCAAAATTTTTTTAAACACATAAGGAGTTATAATTCCTCTTCATCTTTTGCTTCCTTCACTGCCGAAATAGCTCCTCCCTCAAATAATGGCCCTTTCTGTTTTAGGGTCTGTGGGCAAATTTTGCATCGTGTTGGAAATTTAAGGCCTGCAGAAGGTTGTCTGCCCAAATATTGTCAGCTGTATATCTATGATCCTAATGCAGCAGTGTCATTCAGAATGGAACAACCTGGTAATGATGGTTGTATACATAAGTTAATGCAACTCTTGCAAACATTAATTAATCAAGAAAACCCATTTGCTCTTGCATTTAAAAACATGGCAGAAGTAGAGGATGAAGAAATCCGCCAAGCAGCTTTAGAAGGTAGACCAACCTCTGTTGTAAGAATGTCTTTGCTTGAAGGTCATGATAGACGTCGATACAATCTTCCTTTCCATGAGGAAGTTGCTATTGTGTTTGTGGGAGATGATGGTGCTCCACCTGCATCCAGGGAAATTGTTATATACCCTCGAGGTCAGCCTTTAAGAACAATTTCGTCTATGTCTGCAAATTTGGATCCTTTGGTATATCCAATATTCTTCCCGAGAGGTGATGCTGGATGGCACAATCAACTAGAGCACAACCCTGACCGTGCAACCCGTGTTAGAAACCATGTTACTTTGTCTCAGTATTATAATTATAGGCTTGCTGTTAGACAAACTTTTAGTCCTATATTCTATGGTAAGAAACTTTTTCAGCAATATGTTGTTGATGCATATGTCAAAGTTGAGGGACAGCGCCTTGCTTTTATTAGAAATAACCAAAACAAACTTAGAAGTGAGCAATATGATGCATTGCATGAACATGTAATTAATCGTGCTAATGATCTTAATGTAAGACCAGGCCGTGTTGTTATATTGCCTTCTTCATTTTTAATTTTCTTTTATTTATCTCTAGCTGCTGCTTCTTCTGTTACAAGTAAGTTGTTCTATTCACTTATACTTGACTTAATTTATGGATTAATTGGTTTTGTTGCATTTTTAACTTTCTTTTATTTATCTCTAGCTGCTGCTTCTTCTGTTACAAGTAAGTTGTTCTATTCACTTATACTTGACTTAATTTATGGATTAATTGGTTTTGTTGC